TCTGAGATGGATTCCCTTCGAAGATGGAACCAGCCGAGGTTGCCGGAGTATTTGTACCGAAAATTGAACTAGTACTGCTTCCACTAAAGATAGAAGTGTTTGCCGAAGTCGTCGGCATACTGGCGAATATAGACGTGTTCGGTGAACTTCCAAAAGGCATAGAAGGGGCATTGATAACTGGCTTTCCAAAAGTATTAGCTGCTGAGGACACCGCCGGTGTGTTGGGAAATTGAGCGTTTATCGCGAGTGTAGGTTTACCAAAAACTGAAGTATCCGAAGTAGTTGTCGCATTGCCAAAAGTAGGTGGAGTGCCGTTGTTAGGGCTAGTAGAACTTGCCGGGGACAAACTTGCCACAGGTTCGCCAAAAGTAGATTTCGATAAGGAAGTTTGAAATGGAGATATCGCGGTGGAAGTTGCCGCGACTGTGCTCGTCGTTACGCTTGTTGCGGGGGTAGTTTTGAAGCCACCAAATATCGACATTGGCGCGGAAGTTGTAGATTGAATACCAAATGCGGTACTACTGGTGGTGACCGTAAAAGTAGACGTAGTTGGCGTAGAACTCGACATTCCTCCAAATATAGATATACTCGAAGCATTCGTTTGATTACCGAATAAAGAAGTAGCAGAAGTCGGTAGCAGAGTTTGTACGGGACTTGTTGAAAAGACAGGAACTTTTGACTCTGTAGAAGATGTTTTCTCGATAGCCGGCAATGATGTAGTTGCGGCCGTTTCTTTCGAGGGAACTCCACTTGCAAGATTCATGGAGATTTGTCCTAACGATGTCTGGAAACTGAGCATTCTAAACGAAGATTTGTAGGCGTATTTTTCTTCGTCACTTGGAGTGCTGCTAGACACGTTAGAAATTTGATCGGCTGCTTGTTGTCCCGCGAACGACGGGGTTAATTGTAACGCTTCTTGTGTTTGAGCTACTGTCGCCGATGGCGTTAGTTTCACATTGAATGGAGTAGCAGTGCTCGATGGTTTTGAGGCAAAAGAAAATGTTTGTGCGCTTGTTTGCGGCGTGATATTTTGCGAAGTACTGTAGATATTCGAAGGAAGTGGAGTAGCGAAACTAAACGTAGCCGTTGAGTCAGTTTTTGCTGGTGTTGTTGTCGACGCTCCAAACTTCAGCGAAGTATTCGAAGCAATTCCTTGTACATTTCCTAACGATATTTCCGGCGATAATGCATCTTTCAATGTATTGGTAGAGAATAAATTCGTATCTACTTTGAAAGAATCACTCCCTGGTATAACATCTTTGCCTAATTTAATACCGAATTCTTTGGGTACCGATTTCTGAGTAAGAGTCTCTTCAGGTTTTTGTATCGGTGTGCCAAATGTGATAGAATCAACTTTAGGAAAAGATTTCAGTATATTTGGCATAGTATGAGTCGAAGTATTGACTTGATTAAATGTAATCGTATCTGGTTTCGATTTAGTAGTTTGAGGTACCGCATTGGTCACCGGTGAACTTAGCTTTTTGTCTACTGGCAAGGGCTTGCTTCCGGCGACAGCTGGAAAAGCGATACTAAAGGCAGGTTGTTTAGTTTGCGCTTTGCTCTGCGTTGATACGTTATTCGTTTCGCTCGTACCAATTCTCGCTACGATGCTGTTCAAGGAAGCTAAATAACTTTGTTGTTTTGGTTTTTCAGCAGCTTGAGCGATAACCACTGTTTGCTTTGAAACAAGTTGTTCTACATCATTTTTAGGATCTATCGACGTAGTATCGAGAGCAGCTAAAGAGGACAAAGTTTCTTCCAAACGATGCTGAATAGGTGTTGGCTCATCAGGTTTTATGATTCTTGGTGTAGATGCGGATAAGTGTTCTCTTAATTTAATTTGCTTTCCTTGAGTAAAGCTTAACGTTTTAGTAGCGATAGCCTTGCAGCGTGCTTCTATAATTCCTGCGTTCCTTGGAAGAGACATGGAAGATTTTGACGATGTTATACTTAAATTAGACAGCGACCGATTCAATCCGAAAATATTATTATTACGAGTCATTAATTTCCATCGTTTTTTAAGATGCTCTATATTGCCTTTCTCTTCTTGAATGATTTTATTGTGCAATATAAGATTCTGGTACACAAATTCCAAATGGGGGATTTTCATTCGCGACAGTTCTTGAGTTTTACGATCCGACCATTCCAAATCCAAAATTTGACTAGCTCGGGTAAGTTGTGTTTGAGTGTAATAATAAAGCTTGTGTAGATCGGATATCTTATTATCTCCACAGTTTCTAGTAACGATATCGATGGTAGCTGCATTTTTCGACTTGGTTTCTTCGACCCAAGCAAACGATTGCAATAATAGTGCTTTCAAATATGCGATATCGCTGGATAAACTATTCGTTGTTTCCCTTAATTCTCGAAGAAACTCATCTATTTTGGCAGATGTGTCTACAAGCTTTAGACGTTCTTCCTCCGTACCGCATTCCCAAGTTTGCGGTTCCAATCTACTGCGTAATTCCTTCTCGAACAAATTATATTCTTCTATCTGAGCACGAATATCTCTGCTATCATCTTCTACGGATGTTTTTTGTTCCTCAGGTTCTTGCAAACTTGTCTCTTTAACTGCTGTCAATTTAATATCTTGATTTACAGGTTGTTGTAAATGAGTCTCTTTAATCGGCTCAAATTTCTGTTCCTGCTGCTTTGGTTTCTCGGTTGGAGACTGCGGGAAGAAACCGCTTCCTGTGTTGAGTTTACCGAAAATATTTGCCACGGGAGGTGGTTTTGGACGATCAGGAACATTTTCTGGTTGCTTAGGACGCGGAGTACTAGTTATTACACCGTTCATAATAAGAGAAGCTTCCGAGGAAACATTTAATTGCGGCTGTGGCGGAGGTGTAATCATTTCTGTAGGTGGCGAGTTAATAGCAGGACACGTAGGTGTCAAATTCACCATATGAAAACTGCATAATTGTCCAGATGTTGCGAGAATATGAAGTATAGGAACTGGATGAGGTAAAATAGAATCTGCTCCCCATGGTAATTTTCGAACGGGAGTCTTGTCTATAGCTAATCCTACTGGATAACTTTCCTTGGTATGGATCAATGGCAATTCAGCCCTGCCGCTATCGACTAATTGCCACTGATTCCAAGTAGCACCCGCATCCGTAGATCCCAATACAGCTATCTCGCTACTGTTACTGCTGGCAGCAATAATTAAACCCCATTCTGGCACATGATCGAAGTAGTAACGTCGAATCATTGCTTCGCTTTCCGTGTCTGACATTCCATAAGTAATATCTTCATAGCTTGTAAAATTAGCATTCGTTTCACCTTTAGGTGCATCGATTATAAGAACATTTATTCTCTGTTCGCTACATAAATAGGCAGCACAAAATTGATAATTTCTGATCCATAACATCGATATAACTTCTCCGATATACGGAGTCGGACCTGGAATCGTCCTCGCTACTTTCAAGTCAGGTTTCAATTGTACGATATTCCCATTCTTACAACCTACAGCCACTTGTTTCCCTTTAGGGCTCCAAGCGGCGCACAAAACATCCAGACCGTTTAATTTTTCTAAAGCTTTCAACTCTATCGTTTTCTCTTTTTCTTCTTTTATCTGAAAACAACCAACCGTGTAATCGCTGGCTACTGTACAGAACATTCCTGGGACGGTAGGATTCCATTGTAGATCATTTGCAAAAACCTCTGTACTGGATGAGGAAATCCTAATCTCGTGCAATAATTGTAAATTCTGCAAAAAAAAACGCAGTTAGATATTTTAAAATGTACAATAAGAATTGAAAATAATTTATAAACTCTAAATTGTAACATACTCCTCTTGCGAGCATCTGTGCATTGTAGATTAAAATTGATGGACCATGAGGTACCACTGCTAAATAAGAACAGTCGCAACTAAGTGCTAATTTAGACACGAATACGGGTATATTAACTTCCACTTTCCATTCCGGATCGCTATCCTCTCCTGGCTTTAAAATGTTTATTTTATTGTTTTGCCCTATGTACAATAAGGCTCTCTTCTTGTCTGCAGCTAATAGATTACACGCAATTGGTATGGATTCATATGCGTTTAAAATTTGGGAAATGTGAGACTGTTTAAACTGAAATTCCTGTAAAGAAACATCGTATTACAATAAATCTTTCGTTAGATTTATGTATATTTGTTACATAAAATATTAGTTATATATACAATTTTTATGTTTTTTAACATTTAAACGTTATAAAATGAGGCATTCTTCTAACATTCGATTAGAAAACTACTTCGATAAAGTTATAGACTGGAATGCAAGTGTCTGCAGTTCCATTTTTAGAAAATAACAAGCAATACCTGAACGTCTTTCGGATCGGGCGCAGTTTTCATGTTTAATTATTTTACGACAACTTTCATATAAATAAACAGTTTCGTTAAAATATAAATTTGCCGGACACTGCTCAGGTTACATACGAACAGATTCGAAGTAAACGAACGTAACTGAACGTAACTGACAGACTCCAGCAACCATCGGTTATACAAATTGAGATAGAATTATATCACTGATGTGAATTCTATATACAACGGCCGATGGCGATGGCGCCGTCCATGTTTTTATTCCCATCACTTACGTAAACAAATCTACAACGACGTGTACGTGAATCGGATAGCTTCGGGAAAATACAACATGGGCGGAACCTTTAATATAATTTATATGTACAAGTTACTATCTACGTAATAATGAATCATTTTATAATTCTATATTAACAAATTCAAATATATAATTTTTTAACAATTAGCAGCGCCATCGGTGGGAAAACGCCCAAGTTTGTCATGAAATAGTTTCTATTGTTGTCCCTAGATGTCGACACCTATTATGGATTGCCGACATTTAGATAAAAAGGTATCATTTACCATAAGAGTAAAAGTTCAAGACAAACTTGAGCGTCTTTCCGCTAGGAGCGCTGACTAAAAATCATTCTCGTTCCAAGATGGCTGTCAAAAATTATGATCATAGTCATACGTTACTTAACTGTTAGAGCAAAGGAGAGTATAGGTTTTCAATCATTTTATTAATTTCGCCGTACAAGGTGTGTCATTGTATCAAAATTCTCAAAGAGAATTAAGTTACCAATTTTCTGTTGTGGCACCTCCCCAGCTTTGGTTTGTAGTAGCCGGCGCAGTTGCAGTCCAATCTTCTGATGGCTATGCAGACGAAATAAAAAAATAGTTAATAATTTCAAGTACTAGTTAGTTTAATGCTAAATAGATATGGAATTCATGTTTACTTGAGCAGCCCAGTCTCCACTTGCTTGGAAAGCCGGAGCAGCACCCGCAGCTGGAACAGCGGCTGCAGTTGGCGGTGCTACATCATCTGCCCAATTTTCAGTAGTAACTGCCGCCTCAACATCGTTAACCCAACCAGGATCCGTAGTAGTTGGAACTTCAACCGGCCCTGTAAACTCTTTAGCTGGCGCAATTTCCTTAGCTGCTTGTTCTTCCTTTTCAGCCTGTGAAAACACAACGAATGTATATTATAACTGAAGATGTTAAAATATACTTAAATACATTTTAAGAACAGTTTCAGCAAAGATTAAGCCATAATTAAATAAAGTCAACAAATATTTTTCTGCTTACTATTTTCTCATCACGTAGAAAATAAACGTAGAAAATGAAAGATATATAAAATAAACATAGAACCAATTTGATTAATTTTATACTTATACTACAAACCTCTTCGGGATCTCTATAGAAGAATAAATCGACAACGACGTCCCATTTACTTTCACGAGCGATGGAACCCCTTAATCTAAGTACTTCTCTCGCTAATAACCACCACATGAGACCGACGCAATGAAGACTCTTCGTGTTACAAGGAATGGCAATGTCAACAAAACGAAGAGGCGAGTCGGTGTTACAGAAAGCAATAACTGGAATGTTCACGTAACTGGCCTCAGTGATAGGTTGATGATCGGTAGATGGATCGGTAACGATCAACAGACGTGGCTCTCGGAAAGCAGACTGCAAATAATTAAAAGTAATTTGTAGGAACTTTTTAACGCGCGAAAATATCTGCTACATTGTAGAATGAAATCAGAAAAGATTAAGCCAAAGTAAGTCAACAAATATAAATTATGGAAATGGTCTTTCATCACTGAATATAAAAATGAAAAGTATATAATTTTGATTGTAGCGAACATAACCTGAATTTGATTAGTGAAGGCACCAGGTGTAAAACGACCAGCAATAGGTGTAGCACCAGTATGCTGTGCAAATTTAAGAACAGCCCTCTGACCGGTTTGACGGCAACTGATGACAAAAACTTCACTAGGATGTTCGATAGCGACAATTGCACGTGCCGCCAGCAAAAGTTTTTCCCATGTGTGACGTAGATTGATGATGCTCACACCTAAATTTTTAGAAGTAGGATGTCATATGTTTCTAATACCGAAATGTTTGAATTAAGATCATATTTACCGTCATTTTTCTTCTTGTAGACGTATTGTTCCATTTGGAAATTAACATTTTCTGCACCTAAATGTGTAAATGCGGCCAACATTTTGGTAACGTCGTCCTCTTTGAGGGACAATACGTCCAGACCTCCTGACATCTTAACGTTGTGGTTAACTTACGAGTAACCTAAACATAAATACTAAATACAATATCGTATCAAGTTGGTGTTATTTAAAAAAAAAATTCGCTTGAACGACAAACTGGTCACACATAACCTCGCTTTATAACCTAAAATAAACGGCAAGTTCCACTAAGAACAATACAATTTTCAAGCTGTATAACAAAATGCAAACGGTTAAGTGCGTATAATGCTTAAGAAATTGATGACCTACGATATTCAATTAACGTTACCATAATTAAAATTTTGTTGAAAAGTACCACGTGCGTGGATTAATTCGATCAAACAAATTTCTCAAAACTATTGGTTCTTTGTAGAGATTTTTATATAAATCGCATGCCCAGAATAATCTTTGTTATTTAATTAATAATCTCCTTTACTGTACGAAGAAATAAATATTATAAATAAAGAAATGTAATACACGAACTCACGTTATCAATGCCACTAGGAGACTTCCAAGCGGAAAGGAAGTTGTGTATGCATATAAGTACACAACGTTGCGTAGATGCTGCTGGAATAATATTTATATTGTAAAAAATATTCTCGATATCGTTAAACTGAAAGTAGACAGTTTTAAATATATATTATATGACAAGTACAATGGAAATTAATGAAAATACTGTAAATCATACGTATTTAGGAATGAAACGATTAAAGTAGCGGAAGTGTGTCGAAATTTTCCGGAAATTTTGAATACGATTGGAAAGTAATACAGATAACTTTAAATTAAACTGAATAAAGTATCAGCGATACTCTTTATATAATATATTAATTAATCTTTTTTATGTAAATAATAAAAGCATTCGTTAATGCCATAAAATGAATATGTTATGAAATCTACAGCGATAACGTTAAAATTTGAGTAACATTTATTAGCAATAAGACAATATACTTTTAGAGAAATACGAAAATACGATAATATTCTTGTATAATTCGTTACGCGTTATCAAAGAATTTCCATAACTTTAGAAACGTATTATTCCGATGTCGAAGCATCTTGAATCCTAACCTATAACATGTGGACCGTGCGAAGCATTATTCTTCTTTACAGAAATGTGCGATAAATAGATTGCGACATATTATATTAAAAAATAAACGTCGGTTTCTTAAAATATGTTATACAAGAATGTATCCGGCAAATCATAAGACTATTTTCGTTTTGGATCACACACCATACTTTGGCATATCAACCGAATGTCCTTTGGAATTTGATTTTCTGAAAAGTCGGGGTCAAAATTTAATTCCTTTGGCACCTGTTTGTAAATCTTTGTGGACTACCAGCGTAGAGGCTTCCCTGGAATATTGCCGTATAGTATGGGACCTTTTTCCAGCTGGAAAATTGGTATATTATTAAGTATAGTTATCTTTAGTTATTGTTTTTTCTTAAAAAAAGATTAATATGATTTCAAAATAAATACTTTTAATATCGATATTATCCGCAGATAAGGTTTGTGGTGACCGATCGTGCAGCATACGTATTAAACTCATGGAGTCCATCGCAGCAGAATTTAAACCATGTAAGGTTTAGGAGCATTTTGTTTCATACTTTTTTGTTGGAAAATAATATTTCTGATCGAGACCGATTTCTGATTTTAGATAATGAATGGTACAGCCATTTTGGGAGTACCGACAAAGGCTCCGGAACCTGGAGAAGATTATTCTGTGATACATGGATTAAGAGTGGCTATCGAGACATTAAACGAATGTTCAGAAATTCAGCACGAGAAGAGAACATCGTTAAATGAGAATACTAGTAAACTTGTTAACAGAGGCAGAGTAATATGCATCACCAGTGCACGAGATAATAGCAATATGAAAAGCTTGGAAAATATATTTTTGAACGAATTAGCTCAAGAGAATAAAACTGCATTAGCTTCGGATCAGTAAATATCTTTGCATATAATTGTTAGAAGCATATGAGTATTAAGTTTGTAATGTATTTATATCTTCTATTTCAGTTTAATGCCTGTGGATTATTGTCACCTAGTTATACTGAATATCTTTCCTAACAATATCGAATCGCAAGTTACAAGTCAAGGGCCACGAGAGGTATTTTACGTTTCTTTGTATCGCGATGTTTATTTAACTTGTGGAAAAAACAACGTATAATACTTTATCTTAGGTTTCACCGCTGTTAACGGTAGAAGTACACTCCATTAAGGCACCTGCTTTACATTCAAAATTATCCCATTTAATCTTGTCCCATTACGATCTGGCAAGTACAACGGTAACTGGTATACCGATGAAGGAAGAACAGAATGCTAGTTCCTCTGCGAATTACGACGTTGAGATATTTCACTCGTCAGCTGCGCATTCAGCAATTCTAAAAGGTACACGAGCATGCAGTTAAAGAGTGGAAATTGGTACACTTGAAATTACATCGAAATGCGGGAATATCTTTTAGGAAACCCGCAAGATTCAGCTTTGATAAAGACATTCAGAAGATTCGAGGAGGGTTCAGAGTATGAAACGGTAACTTTGAAATGGTGTACACCACGAGGATGTAGCGCAGCCGAAATGCAAAATTGCACAGCTATGCACAGGATCACGCCGGTAGATGTAAATAGTAGACCTTCGTCTTGTTTGATTAATTTTCTGTTGAACGGTAGGTCGGTAATGCTCGAAATGGCCAGAAGAAGCGGAGGAAAGACTATTTCTCATCTACTTGCCGCGCATGGCGGAGAAATTTTTATACATACGCTATCTACCGCTAGAAGTGTATTGGAAGATCCACCTTCTATCAGCGAAGGATGCGGTGGACGCGTCACCGATTACAGAATAACTGTGAGTATGTCAAACCGGAAGTATCGCGCATATGCAACTCGTTGCTTATTACAGGATTTTGGAAGACTCATGCGAAACAATGTACTGGTGCCTTTGAAACGAAGTACAAACGTTAACAGCGAAGGTCCAGCGGAAAAGATGAGATCGAGATTGGAAAGACACACCAAATATTGGCCAATTACTATTTCTAGTACTCTTATGTTTAATTTAAAACAGGTAGAGATTCCAAATGAATCGAACTCAACTGTAACTATCGTATTTCATTGCGTCCGTAACAATTAACAAAAACGTATCAAAGTTAATAGATCCACTGCCAGATTTAATGGTAAAGGAGGAACTCACAGCTGAGGAGGTCGTCCAGTGTAAGCAAGTGATCTTCAGTTTATTGCAACTGGAAGCAAAACATGAAACGTTACCTTTGCCAAGTATCGGCGGGGGGCGTGGTGGTAAAGGTGGTGTACGGAGAGAAGAACACTATAGACTTTTGTGGGGAGAGCTGGAAACGTTTCTCAAGCAACACGCTAATAATTCTGCCGCGCATTCCGAAGTTTTGACTTGCCTTCTCGAAGTACGGAGTAAAGACGATAAGGATAAGGTCGAATTGGACCAGGCATTGCGCGAATTGGACGGGTAAATATCGGACGTCTTAAGAAGACTTTATTTCTCTGGACAAAAGTATTTGCTTTTGTATCGATCTCGCGTTTGTTTTTATACAGTTTTGGAAAAGAAGATGGAACCGCCCGTGCAAGCGTAATAAGAGCAACAACCGATTCGCCGATGTCGCCACCACCTAGCACGTCGATATCTCTCGGGAAGCAACTCCTGAAGGGTAACATTTATTCTCCTAAAAGTCTGTTGGACGTTTGGCTACAACGAAGCGCCCCTAAAGAAAAGAAGCCAGACTTCCACGGAAGAGTTAACAGCGACGGTCCTAAAGCTAAGCTATATCCCAATTTAAAAGAGGTTGGCCGAGAGCCCCGCGAACCTATTCTAGAGGGTTGATTCAGATGGTTCTTATCATTTTCAATACATAAATCCAAGGGTACAGTTTTAATCAGGCTATAAACTAAACGTGACTTTTGCCATAATTACATTAATTACCACACGTTAGCTTACATCGTTAGTGGATGATGTATCACGATTCATTTAAGTAAAAGAAAGTTCGCTTCTCAAACAGATATTATTCGTAAAGTCTTTACCGATCAAGAGTATTCCGTCAGTTGTGTGTACGTGCAATCGGACAGCGCGAAAGGATCATTATTTTTAAGGAATCGATAATATATGTAATTTTACTGTTTCCATGAGAACATATCTTTGTAATAAAAATACATCGAAGGTTGAAGATGCGACTGCGTTCTTTTAATAATTTAAAATAATTACTTCGAACAACGCGATCAACTGTATCAATATGTACTCGTTTGACATTTCATATGGTACAGTGACCCCGAAGTTATTAGACACAACTTAAGTAACTTAAGTTATTAGACATAAGTTGTTGGAAATTTTTGAAATTTCATTTTCACGAGCTTCTTCGGTAGATAAGATAAGCGTTTCGCGAGGCCTCGTAGCTCCGCGTATCCGACGATACGACCTTAACGCGAAAGTGTATCAGTGGTGCAACGAAAGCGATCCCCAGGGGTTCTCCCGTGCCCGCGCCTTTCTCGTCCCACGTCGTTTTACAACAGAGACCAGCAGACACGTCTGCCGGGCGTCTGAGCCACCGCGATACGTTGACCTCCATCGAAACTATAGTCCTATCGACTCCCCTACCATGGCCGGTTGGAATTCCGCCGCTAATCGATGGAAGGAAGGAGGAAGGAAGGTATGCCTCGCATATAATATAACGCGAGCACGGTTCGAGCCCGTAGAAAAGAGAGACGGAGAGACGGAATCGACAGACGCCGTGAAGTACAGAGGGACGCGGAGGCGGAAGGGGATTCGGAGAGTACAAGTGCGTGACGTAATGGTTCATTCATCCCGAGACAGACGATATCCCGGTCAATGGTGTACATACGTACACATTCGCACACACACGCACGCAACACGTGCACGCACGTATTCTGCATATACAGGTCTCTCGATACACGTGTGTACAGCCACGGACGGAGCTCGGTGTGACCGTGGGCTGCGTGTCACGTGAAATGCACACGTGCACATTGTTTGTTCCGTTTGGTTTGCTCTGTTCCTTGCTACGGCCAGTTTGCGTCGCGATGCCGACGTCTCTGGTCCACGCAGTCGTGGTACCATTCAAACGCTCGCAAAGGAAAGGTTCGTCTTTGCACTTGAGAGGCGATCCTCGATGTAGGCGACAATGCTTAGTCGCGTTAGGCTCATTCCGCAGGAAATCGGACACAAAAATATAGTCGGGTCTCGATAATTATTATACATACATTCTCCGTATCGTTAAACGATAGTTGTACGCGGATTACATTCTCGTGTAAAAGCTCGTGCCGGTAGTCTACTCTTTAGTAACGCACGGGTAATCTCGAAATAATCGTTTTCGAACCATTGTAAAAATGACAGTATTTTTAAGAATATTTTGAAAAGTTGCTTCGCAAAAGGGACAAATCGAGACTATATCCTAAATTTTTCGTAGATTTTTAGAACCGGTTATTAGAAACATAGGTATCGAACAGAGGCCTCGGCCCGGTCTCTGTTGCTTAACGCGTTTGTTGGGAAAATTGGTAGCGGCGTCATAGCCCTGGAAAAGTAAATTAGAAATATTGATCGGGGAGGCTCCACAGCTGTGTGTGTGCAGGTGGTAGTACGAAGAAGAGTCCGCCGTTTATAATTTATCTCGCCTATCTACCCGGAATATCGATCCTGACAAAAGGTCACTGAACGAGCGAGCGAAAAAGAGAAACACGACCCGGCTGCAGTTCGGCTGATAATCATTAACGTCACTCGCCGATTATCGATGCACGCTGGCCGAACGTTACAGAGGGTGATTCTCGAAATTAGACACAAAGGACGGATTTTTCACTGTTAACGCGAAACCTCGGAGGTTCAACCTCCGATAACCGTTAGAATCGCCGTTTTCAAATTTTTCTACGACATACACTAATGCACAATACATAAACTACGGTATAAGCAGTATTAAGACCAGTCATTCGATCGTTCGCGACAGGGCTAGATACAAATATCGATAGGTTTAGCGTTAATTTGCTCCTTCGCGTGTATAAAAAAAAAAAGAAAATGTGTACTATCATAAGTATATCTTGTATAACCGCTAATAAATCTCGCCAAACTTAGGATGTCCTCCCATATCCGATAGTTTTATTCCGAAGTCGATCGACGCGTTTCCAGGCGAACGACGCCTTCGACTTTGTCCAGAAGGCACAAAGACCAGGAAGCGGAACGATGATGAATTATAGACGGCCAGGAAACGGAGCACGTCGGCTTCTCAGGCACAGATCGATATCCACTCTACGTTGCCTGTCGATGTATACCTAGAAAGCAATAACGCCGTGCATCGTTACTTCCCCTAATCGGTCAAAGTCGTTAAAAAAAAAAAAGACAAACAATTACCTTCGCGGAAAGACGATAAATTCTTCTTTGGCATCGAGTAAAACGTCGTTGGATATACGTAAATGAAAGTTTGCGGAGTCTTTCTCGGGCCGCGCGATACTCGAGATATTCCATTAAAGGACGAAAACGCAACGTTAACTCGCGAAACGGCGCCGGCGAGAAAATGGAGAGATCGTCGTTAGATTGTGGCACGCGGCGGGAATTTTGCTGCGAGCAGGACGATAAAGTCGGAAAGGGGCAGAAGTTTCCTCTTTCCACCCGGGAACCGCGTCCCGGGACGTAATATTCCTTGGCGGAGAGGCCAGGTCAGAGGAACGTGGGGCGCGGATGCCAGGAGGGTGGAAAGGGAAAAATAATCTCCCAGTGGGATTTTCGACCCTCGCGTTTCGCGTCATAGGAAGGGATAGGAAGAGACCGGGCGATCGTTAGCGCGGAGGGGACTTTGAAAAACGTCTCTTTTAGTGTGTGTGTGTGTGTGTGCGTGTGAGAGAGAGAGAGAGAGAGAGAGAGAGAGAGAGAGAGAGAGAGAGAGAAGAGCAGCTGCAGAGCCAGGCAGGCGCAGCATTGAAAAGGGGCGACAAAGGGACAGGGCCCTGACCCTCGGGGAACGCAGCAGGAAAGCGACTCCTGTGGACGCTTCCCTCGATGGAATACGTTAGGACGTAGCTTGAAACATTCAGTGAACCGAATCGCTCTTCGTGAGAGAGCTTTCTCACAGGGCCACGATCCTCTGACACTGTCCTACGATTTAGTATGTACCTACAACGAACCAAGCGATAGCATAGAATATTATTATTTTGAAAAATAGAGAAGTATAGGTGGTATAATTATGCTCTGTAGGCATAAGTATTATAGTATGACCCCCCCCCCCTCCCCCCGTGAAGTAACGACGTCCTCGTTAAGGATATGCCCGGGCCAAAAGAAAGCGAGGATCTAGCGAGACACGGTAAGAATCAATGGCCGGGTGACTGTCCCTCCCCCCCACCCCCCCCCACCCCCGGTCTTACAATTAAACCCGGGTGACCGGATGCAAAAACTATGCAAAAAAAACTATAATCATGCTCCGTAATCTATGCGAAAGCGTCGAGCGAGCAGCCCCTGAACCCCAGGTGACCAGTCAGTCCTGCCTCGCCCTTCGTTCGACCTTCGTTTGATAGAACGGAACATCGACCATTGCACTCCGGATTGCTCGTCGTTCCATGTGGATTAATCGGAATTTTGCGCGTCATACCCGGATCGAAGATACGCCGTTCCGCGGAAGGTTGTTCGCCGCGCTAGAGTCGCGTAACGTTCTCTTGAATAATAGATCGCGCGATGGAGAACCATTGGACGAGCGCGCTGACGGCGACGCGCGAAGCTCTAAGGGTGCAATTACGCTTCGATATTCCGTTTGTTAACATTCCTGTTGGTTCTGCGGGAACGGAATGCGTGCGAGGAAACGTGAATTCTTCTCCGAAGTGAAATAGCAAAGTTCCTTGCTCGGAGAAGCTGGAACGGAAGCAGGAGAGAGAGAGAGAGAGAGGAGAGTTCGCAAGAGCGTGCCCGCGAGAGAAGCCGGCCAGTAGGGGAATTGAAAGTAGAAGAAAGAACAGAGAGCGGCAGGAGCGGGTGCAGAGGGTGGAGGGTGTCCCTCTACTCGCCCCCGTCATGGTAACGTCGTAGCACGTGCTTGCTACGTCACCGCGTGTTTACAGAGAGATACCTATAGCCGTACTCGTGACCTTGTGTTTTGTATATATCACCCTCCCCCCTCGACGGTCGCGGAATTCCCCCGCTGCGCCCGCGGACCCGGGAATACCCCCATCCGGTATCGTCTCCTCTCCCTTTCAACCTCCAACGCGGCTGGTGCACGAGAGAGCTCCTCAAACTCCCCATGAGGCAACCAGTTGTTCCGTCTGTGACGTAACGGGGTATCACACGACCTGTCGGTGCTTTGTTGCATCCTGTCCCACTCGGTCGGCCCTCTTCGTTTACCGCCCTGACTGCCAGACTTCTCTCTTCCCTCGTCTTTCGACCGGCGGGTGTTCTCTGTTCCGTTCGCTGGTCCTCTCCGTCTGTTCGCGTTTCCCTGTCCCTACCCGCCTTTCTGTACGTCGCGTCGGTGTGTAACCTATGTACGTACACTCGTCACTTTCTCTCTTTCCCATACCCTGGATGATCTTCGTCTAGCGACCACTGTTCGGAATTCTCTTTTCCGTACCCTCGCCTCCTCCTCGCGGCACTGTTAATGCCCTCCTCGCCGTCGCTCGCCATGTTCGTCCATACGTATGTATGCGCGGCTACGTGCCCTTGTGTATTCTTCTCGCGATGCGAAAGAGAGAAATAGCGATCCGGGAGACGGGGAGAAAGTACAGGAGGATGGTTTAAATGGGTGAACACATCGCCTCGAAGGTCGCGCCCGAGCTGACTGGGTCACTGGAACGACCGCGATGACCCCGAGGCCCTTCGACCCGGGTTCCATTCCAGTCTAATGGATCTGGGATCGATTCCATGGAAAACGTCCACTGTACGGCGTCTTTTCTTGTCGCGGGAACGACTTGGTCCGGTTTGGACGGGCTCGTGGATCGTTTGGGCCATCCTACCTGTGGGATGCGTTCGATGGTCACGGTGCGTTAAAGAACTAATGGTAGGTGGTGTTTGCACTGGATACGATACTTACGTAATTCGTAGCGATCGTCTAGGACCTAGACTCTAGGTAGCGATCGGACTATGGAAGAGAGGTGATAAGGCCAAACTTCGGTACAAACTTGGTTTGCTCTTGTCGTGGCAACGAGCATCGGTCCTCTTAGCGCGATAAGGCAGCTTTCGGATCGTCTGCCTTCGAAATACTCCACCATCCAAGTGTTTCGATCCGGAACGGCTCCAACTGGAATTTGGTCATTCGAATGGAATTCGTGTTAATCGCAATTGGAATCTGACTTTCCACACGGTGAGTTATTCGATCGATCGATCGATTATACGTGAAATTGATTACCGTCCAACGGTGCTCGTCGAACAAGGCGAAAGTGAAACGGTCTCCGATCTCGCGGACTTTCTCCTTCTTCGTTCCCGAGCTGCTTTAGCGTTCCTTCGATTCCACAGTCGATTTACTTGTCGTTCGAGGAAACTGGTCGGTGGAAAAGTAGAAAGTCCTGAAAGAAAGGCACGGTTGAGAGAGTTCGAATGGGAATCGGTCGAATAAGGGTCTTCGAATACTCTTTTATAAATATCGGAGGCAGTTCCAGAGCTGTATATAAACAAGTTTTCCTCTTTATAACGTTAGTATAGATTATTAAATTTACCTGTCAGTCTAACGTATCCTTCAAGGAAGTCCGTGATTCTTATTCTCGCCCCCGCAGCCGCGTTACGTTATTATTTTCGTCGCGACAAGCATCTTCGAGCGTTCCTCACCGACGCTTCTAAAATTAAGGGAACAAGTAACCTTGCGGCGCGGTTGGTTGCCAGGAACGGCGCATATTTCACGCTACGTAGAGGATATTTCCTCCGACGGCAACGCGGTTGCTAAATATTCGCAGTATAACGAGGAAACGGATGGAAAATGTAAAACAAAATTTGTTTGTACAACTCGCGAAGTTGTACTTTTCTTTATCTATCGAGTAATCGCTCACTATGTACGCTCCGTTAATTACGAACGCGCGTTCCGAATGTCGTGTCTACGTAAACGCTCGCGGGGCCAAGTGTCATCGTCGTCGTGGCAATCATTATCAGCCTCGTCATTTCCACGACCGTCATCGACGTCACTGAATATCGTTGGCTGTCAACGACAACCTATACGAATTAAGGGGGCTTGCCAGTCGATTTACCAAATTCTACATTGAGAATGAACTCCAAAGGAAATTTTTAATGTAAACATATATGCGTGACTAAACGAATATTCTCTTATCGTTAGTCTTTACTTTGAGAGTAAGGTAATTACTCTCTTAAAATAATTATAGAGAACAGGTACATCCTCACCGATTTCGATGCTTTTTAAATATGTTGTAGAAATTTTGAACAACTTTTTCCTATACACGCAATATTCGTTGTAGTAGCAGCAGAGGTATTTTGCAAATACCTCGGAAACTGAGGTCGAGCGATGGTTATATGTATAGGAAAAAGTTGTTGAAAATGTCGATTTCTACAACATATTTAAAAATCATCGAAATCGGATGAGAATTACCGAGAGTAATTCGAGTGCATGATCCCCTCAACCGGCCAATTATTTCTGAAATTACGATGATTTCAATTGAACCGTCTGCTTCGAATCCTGCCGCGATCGATGACCGTTGTCGGCCGAAACAAGAACCTTAATTACTCCTTTTAGGTTCGATTAATTTCGAATCACGTGCCCGCTCATTTCCGCGCCGTTCGTTGCGGTGACGGTTAATGGTCACGTAATTACGGTAACGTGCGTCGCCATTAGCCCCCGAATCCATGAATGCTTTCGTATCGAACCCGTGTCTTTCCAGCTGGAAGCGCAACAACGCCCGCTACGGTAGATTCGAGCTTTTTCGGAGGTAAACGTCTTTCTAAAACAAGAGAATTCGTACAAAATCAATCTGTTTTCATTGTTTTTCGTTCGATTGGATTTCCGAGACAGTGATACACGCGTGGAAAACTTGCATGTCGTTTTCTTGCAACGATTCAATCGAAACGAACTTGTTTTTATTGACTTTCATTTGATTGAATTTCCAAGCGGAGATGTGCATACAAGAAACTGTTACTGTGTTTGCTTTTAATTCGTTCGAATTTACGTCGTCTCCTCGGAATATGCGCGACAAGTTTTCGCTCATTTTTATTTGAATTTTTTGTTCGGTTCAGCGATAAAAGAGCATCGATGTCGAGGCTCGCAAGTGTTACGTATTACGGAGCGATTAATCAGCTCGGTGAACTTTTATGCGCGTTAAAAATGATCGAAAAGCCGGACGCGAAATAACATCGATCACTTTCATTTTTTATACGGTGCTAAACGAATGGGGGGTAAAAAAGTACTTACATTCCCTGTTTCTTCGCGCGTAAAAGTCGTCTGTTCGTCCTCTGTTTGCGTTGCCGTAACGCTGAACCTCGGACAAAGCCTATAAAATAATCGATGCGTTCGTATCGCGGGTCGCGACGGTTATAAATTTAATACATTCGGAGTTCTCTGCGACTATTTTTACTTAAGAAAGACCGAGCAATTAATAACGCGATCGTTAATAACGCGATCGAATCGGCTGAATATCAAGCTTCGGAATGTTCGCTGGTCGAGCTTAAAATCACCCGTGACGTCCGGAATGTATAATTAGTTTTAAAATGGCACAAGATACCTATGAGAGATTTAATTTCTTAACATCTGTGGTATTTTCAATCGGAGTTAATCTTAACGAGAACAAATTGATCCGTCGATAGACCAAATTTAGAATTCTTTAAAGAGGTATTAAAAATGTATTTTTCGGGAGAATTGGCAGATAACGGTAATATACGTGAATTAAAAAATTCCATAAATAATATCCTTGCGTATTCTCAACTGCCACTTTTACCTACAACTATACTGTATTAACCCTTTGTACTCGAGAGGTGACTCTCGGTCGCCATTACGTTTCAAAGGTTAGCAAATCTTTTAACTCAAATTTTGTAGGTTTAATTTCATCGGAGCTCGACGTATCAATAAAAGGTGACCTTATTAAAAAAATCACGATAGATTAGAACTCGTAGCAACAGAATGTTAAGAAACATCTCGAGTTGCTGGTAGATGGAAAAAAAAAGGCCTCGAGTGCAAAGGGTTAAACGTTCTCGGGGCTTAAAGGGTCGACGTTGAACAACGACAACGTCGTTTCGTTGATATGATGTAAACTTTGGGCTTTGTTCGTTCATCTTCCGTCTTTCATTCCTCGAGGAGTGAGATGTTGACATATCTAGGATTTGGTAGACCAAAACAGAAGCGTCGAGTCTGACACGAAAAAGACTTCTCTGTCGTTGAATCATCTTGGCTTCCGGTTGAGAGTACACGGTTTCTGAGCCCGTGTTACGGCTACCGCTGTATCCAATGTTGTATTTGTGTGCGTGGAATCGGTTCGTAGTTTTATATTCTCATCTGAAAATCCGATTAGAAATCAGTGCGTGCGTGCGTGCGTGTGTGTGTGTGTGTGTGTGTGTGTGTGTGTGTGTGTGTGTGTGTCTATCTTTCCTCGGATTCGAAGAAAATAAAGATAAAAATTGAGAAACGAAACAGAACAAGAATCGCTACGGATGCGCGTGTGTGTACGTGGAACGTGTTGCGATTCACCGTGAGAATAATGATTACGCCGGGCGTCAGATGAGAGAAAAAAAAATAACAACTCCGTTACATTAAATCCGTTACGTTTATAAGACAATAAAAACTATGCTCGCTCTCGCCGTCGTTTGTAATAGTAGCAGCAGCAGCAATAATATAATCATAATTATAATAATAATAATAATAATAATAATAATAATAATAATAATAATAAT